ATTTTTTCCGTCGTTGTTCCCAGCAGAATTAAAAATTTTATAAAGGCCATTGGCCTTTATGATGAGTTGTAGAGTCAATTTGCCTCTATTAAATATTTTTATGTTAACTAGAAAAATTATTTTAGATCGAAAATTTATGTCTACACTGATTTTTAAAATTTTAAAGGCTAAAAGCTAACCAACCGTGCAGTTAACTTTTGCGAAAGTAAACAACTTGTGTTTCGTGCGCTCATATGACCTTAGCAGTTGCGAGCGCCGTAAAACCCAATACTACCATGACCTTTTTTTTCCAGAATTGAAATCAGAGCTGAGTTGATTTAAATCAGTTGATTTTTTATTTTAATCAACTTGATTTTAAAAATAAAAATCAGTGATTTAAATTTTATTCCGTTTTTACACATTTCAACATTCAGAATTCCTTTCCTTGGTTTCATAAAATAGATATAAGGTTAAGTAGACTAATATAATCATGCTTAAAAGTCTGCTTTCCCCCCTGTCACTGTAAAATAATACAGTTCTCAATTTACTTTTTTTCATAATTGAAACCAGGGTTGGGTTGATTTAAATCAAGTTGATTTAAATCAGTTGATTAAAATTTTTTTTAATCAACTTGATTTAAAAAATAAAACTCAGTGATTTAAATCACTTTAAAAAAATGTATTCTGTTTTTACATCTTTAAACATTCAGAATTCCTTTCCTTGGTTTTATAAAACAGATATAAGGTTTAGTAGACTAATATAATCATGCTTAAAAGTCTGCTTTCCCCCCTGTCACTGTAAGTAGTAAAATAATACTGTATTCAATTTACTTTTTTTCATAATTGAAATTAGCATTTTCTTTTTCTTTTTAGACAAAACACAAGTGCCCGCATACACACACACTGTAATAAAATGCAAGTTTATCTATGCATAATTACCCCCCCCCTTCCTTTTGGACTGACATTTTCTTCATTTTTTGTCTGTAGCCATAATTCACTGAATAGCAGATTAAAGCTTTCTAAAACTGCAGTTGCTTAAATTAATCATTAGTTAAAATAAAGACAATGCATTTTGCACTGAAAGAACTTACTTTTAGGCACCAAAAATCCCAAAGTGTGTCGACATTTTTTTTTAAATAAAAAAAATCCGATCTAAATTTTAAAAATCTTATTTAAATTTTAAAAATCGATTTTTAAAATTTTTATTCAAAAAATCAACAAAATCACCAACCCTGACATCAAACCACCTGAAGTTGCTCAAAATCTAGACCTCTTCATTTGCTTACTTTCCAGAAATCTATGTGCATCCAGAAAGTGGCCAGGACAGGGCTCCTACATTTAAAAACCTGTTACGTGTCAACCATTAGTAAAATTGTCTTGCCTTGCAGCCATAAATTTGAGCCCTTCCATTTCTTTATTCATTGTGGAATGTAGCTTTTGCATTTTTACACCAATATACCTGAACATTGTGAGGTTTAGTAGAAGTGCAGCCTTGTTATTTTGTTACAAAATGTAATTTAATTATTTTTATGAATTTACAAAAGTACTTTCTCTCCTCTTGTCTTGGAACTCGGCAAGTAGGGTGAGTGAAATATTAGTAACTTAGATGAGCTGAGGATGCCCACCAGATTTTCCTG